TAACAATTATTATCCATCCAAGAGGATACATTCAGAGTAGAATAATTGGTTTTGTATACCAGTACCAAGCCAGCAAAATATCCGGTCCCAAAAATTTTCTTTTAAGGTATCCTGATACCCCAATTGACCACCATCGTTGGTGCCGCTTTACGGTCGGACGTTTCATGCAAACCCAAGTAAACTACATTGTCTAAAAGCTTAAGAATTGTAGATTACGAAAGTATATTTAATTACTCAAATACAAAAAAAAACATTAAGGTTTTCAGAAAATAGCGCCCTATTTCCCAAAGTACGGAGGTTTACCAACCAAGTTCGTTTCCGGTCGCATTTGACCGGGAGAACGCGATCAACTTCTTGACACCTTTCTTTTGTTTTTGACGGACACTTAAACTTTCAGTTTTGATAAAACATGCATTCTCTTCACGAAAATAGTCATAACTTTTGAAAGAAGCAAAACTAAGAATTCCCCGACAGGTTTTTTTTTTGTCTGATTATTGGGCACCATTCTCTCCAAATTTCAGCGATTACGTTGAAAACTCGCCGGAAACGGACTCCAAATGTGTGCCTCGCTCACTGAAATTTTCTGTTTCTTTCTTTCGATTTTCATAACGCCTTAGCTTAGACGTAGACAACGAAAAAGCCCGCTCGTAGACATGAAGGAAACTCACGAGATACTGATTGGGTTGATACTGTTTATATCAAGCGTTTTCCTCGTCCAGGGCAAGCAACTTCTCCTGCTCCAAGCAGGAACCTCTGCCGCTAGCAGCTAACCCACCAGCCCAATTCTGATCGAATGTTTTTGAAACCTTTTCCCCCGATTTTTTCCTCTGTGGCGCTTTCTTCGTACTTGCAAATGGACACGAACTTTTGCGTTTCTTCGACGACATATTTAAACTTAAATCAACGATCTACAAACGGAGAACACCGAGGCAAGCTCGTCGAATATACCAAACATGAACGTTTGGTAATCTTTCATACGCGGCAATCTGTCACGCAACTTTTAATGCAAGTTTACTTCTCGTGAAAATCCGTTGACTGCTATCAATTAGAGATAATTATGCAAAGAAACGTTTTTCGTTTGTAACTTTGCATAGTGTCAATCTTTTTTCATAGACTTCTTTTAAATGAAAGATCGCAATAAGATCTATCTGAAAGAGCGAGAAACTTTTTATTGAAAAGTGGTCAATTTTGAGGTATAGTCATACCTTAAGACGAATATTGTCAGATCCTTATCAAACGGAAACACTTAGTCCGCACCACAGGCAGACGTGCATGTAATTCTCAGTCGCGCTTTAAAAACTACATTAAAATTATAATACATTAAAAACATAAACCGTAAAAAACAAAATGACG